AACTGTATTCAATAGAAAAATTAAAATGATCAGTCACCATGACCAGATGGGATTTATCCCTGGGGTACAAGGATGGTTCAATATATAAAAATCAATTAATGTGATATATCCCATTAACAAAATGAAGAATAATATGTGATCATCATAAGCATTTGATAAAATTCAACACCCCTTCATGATAAAAACTCTCAATAAACTAGGACAGAGAGAAATTAGTCAACATAATAAAGGCCATATATGACAAGCCCACAGCAAATATCATACTCTGGTTAAAAACTGAAAGTTTTTACACTAAGATCAGGAACAAGGCAATAGTGCCCACTCTTACCACTTCTATTCAGTATAGTACTGGAAGAATCAGCCAGAGCAATTAGGAAGAAAGCAAAGTAAGGGAAGGGGAGGGGAGTGGAGCAGAGGGGGCGGGAGGGGAGGGGAGGGAAGAAAGGCATACAAATTGGAAAGAGAAAAAGTAAAATTGTCTCTGTTTTAAGATGCTATGATTTTATACACAGAAAACCCTAAATACTACACACACAAAACAGCTAAAACTATTAAATGAATTCAGTGACATTTCAGGACACAAAATCAACGTGCAAAAAAATTCCATTTACAATAACATAAAATGAATAAAATATTTAGCCATAAACTTAAGGAAGTGAAAGAGTTATACATGGAAAATGATTACATATTGATAAAAAGTTAAAGATGACATGAATAAATAAAGACATTTTGTGTTTATAGATGGAAAGATTTAATGTTGTTGAGATGTCGATACTACCAAAAATATCTACAGATTCAGCCCTGGCTGGCTTGGCTCAGCAGTTAGAGTGTTGGCCCGCAGACCAATGAGTCGCAGGCTCAATTCCAGTTAAGGGCATGTACCTTGGTTGCAGTTCATCCCTGGCCCTGGTCAGGGTCGTGTGGGAGGCAACCAGTCAATGTGTCTCTCTCACATTGATGTTTCTCTCTCTCCGTCCCTCTCACTCTGTCTGTAGATAAATAGAAAAATATCCTCGGGTGAGGATCTCTATCAAAATCCCACTGGCTTTTTAAAAAATATAAAATAGAGAAGAATATACCATGCTCATAGATTGACAAAAGTAACAATGACCATACTGCACAAAATAAAGCAATATGCAGATTCAGTGCAATTCCTATCAAAATACCAATGGTCTTCTTCTCAGAACTAGAAAAAAAATTTCTAAAATGTATATGAAATCACAAAAGACCACAATAGCCAAAGCAATCTTGAGAAAGAACTCAGTTGGAGGTATTACACTCCCTAATTCTACACTATATGACAAAGCTATAATAATAAAAACAGCATGGTACTGGCACAAAAACAGACACATAGATCAATGGAACAGAACAGAGAGTCCAGAAATAAACACTCACACATATGGACAGTTAATACATGACAAAGAAGCCAATAATATCCAGTGGAGAAATGTCAGCCTCTCCAACAAATGGTGTTGGGACAACTGAACAAACGCATTCCAGAAAAGAAAACGGCACCATTCTCTTACACCATAGACAAAAATAAACTCAAAATGGATTAAAGACTTAAATGTAAGACCTGAAAACTCCTAAAATAAACATAGTTTGCTATTTGACATCAGTCTTAGCAGTGTCTTTTTTGGATCTGCTCCCCAAGCAAAGGAAATAAAAGCAAAAATAAACAAGTGGGGTTTCATCTAACGAAAAAGCTTCTAAAAAGATAAATCAAAAATCTTTCATGCATATATGCATAACCAATGGACACAGACAACAATGCTCTGGGGGGTGGGGGGGTTCAGGAGGAGGGTGTCAATGGGGGAAAAAGAAGAAACATCTGTAACAAAAATAAATTAATAAATAAAAATTTAAAAATTTTTTTCTGGAACAGTGTGTATAAAAAAAAGCTCCTGCACAGCAAAAACAAAACAACAACAACATAAAACCACCCAAACAAACCATTAATAAAACAAAAATAGATCCTACTGAATAAAAGAATATATTCACAAATGATATATCTGATAATGGGTTAATGTCCAAAATATATGAGGAACTCATCATAACAAAAAACAAAACAAAACAAAAACAGTCTGATCAAACCATGGGCAGAGGAAGGACATGAAGAGACATTTCTCTGGAGAAGACATACGGATAACCAACGACACATAAAAAGACACTCAATATCACTCCTCATTAGGGAAATACAAATCAAAACCACAATGAGATTTGCAACAAATCCCAAGCCAGCAAATCCCAAGCGCTGGTGGGAGCGTGGGGAAGGGGAGCCTACTGCTCTACTGGCCGGAATGCGGATGGCTGCAGCCAATGGGAAACTGCATGGAGTCTTCTCAGAAAACCACGCACAGATCTACCATGGGACCCCACAATTCCACTTCTCTGTGTTCATGGAGAATGAGATGAAGAAGTTAAGACACAAATTCTGAGTTGCTCTCTAGTTTGTCCAGAAATAAAAGTTCATATTTTGTGAAATTAATTTACTTTGTGAGGCTGAAACTCACAAATAAAGTACTGTAAATCACTGCAAATCAATATTCCCTCACAAATGCCATTGTCCTCTATTTCTGCATTCGTTTCTGTATATATTTCTGCATATGGATATAGCAGGTTAAAATAAGATATTCATATGTCCTTATATTATATAGACATATATATACATATATATTATATATGTAAAAACATGTATAAATGTTTATACAATAAATGCACGAGTGCCTGGCTGGTGTGGCTCAGTGGTTGAGCATCGACCCATGCACCAAGAGGTCGCAGGTTTGATTTCCTGTTTAGGGCACATGCCCAGGTTGTGGGCCAAGTGGGGAGCATGCAGGAAGTGGCCATTCGACGTTCTCTCTCATTGATGTTTCTATCTCTCTCTCCCTCTCCCTTCCTCTCTCTCTAAGATCAATAAAGAAAAAAAATGTTAAATAAATACACACACAAAAAAGTTATATATACACAACATCACACATCATTATGACCTGCTGAAGAAATTATTTTATCTGTTATTTCCTCATTTCTTCCATATAGCTCTTCTGGTTGAGAGAGGGTTGGTATAAAAGATTCAAGAGAAATGAGAACTCTCCGTACTTCTAAATGATAATGTTCTTTTTTGTTTGATTTTTTTTTTTTTTTATCCTCACCCGAGGAAATTTTTTTTTTTCCATTTTTTGCTCAGATAGAGTGGGAGGGAGAGAGAGAGAGAGAGAGAAACATCGATGTGAAAGGGACACCTCGAGTGGTTGCCACCCGCACGACCCAACCAGGGCCAGGGATAAACTGCAACCGAGGTACATGCCCTTAGCGGGAACCGAACCTGGGTCTCTCTGGACCACAGGCCGACGCTCTAACTTCTGAGCCAAACCGGCCAGGGCTTTTGTTTGATTTTTTAATCCTCACCTGAAGGTACTGATTTCTAGATAGAGTGGAAGGGTGGAAGGGAGAGCGAGAGAAACATTGATATAAGAGAGAGACATTGATTGGTTGCCTCCTGCATGACCACAACCACCACCAGAGATCAAACCTGCAACTGAGATACGTGCCCTTGACCGGAATCAAACCTGCGACCCTTAGGTCTGCAGGCCAATGCTCTAACTGCTGAGCCAAACCTACCAGGGCTAAATTATTATGTTTTAAATCATCGCTTCTCTGCATTATTATTATACCAAATACATAATTTATTTTTTCCAGTTTTCCATAATGTAGCGACAACTACATAATAAACCCTTCAAACCTTCCCTCTTGGTCTTCATCAATGACTCATTCTGAGAGCCTGCGTCCACTGACCAGGTAGCAACTCTAAGCTTGAGAAATATTTCCTCTTACAAAAGCCTCCATGTCACTGAGAAACCATGTACACACATGTCTGAAAAGCACAGAATTCAAGAGTGGGTGAGCAGGTGAACACTGTCCTCGGGAAGTGGTCAGGGAATAGAGTCTGCACCTCCTCCACCACGTGTCTCCCGGAGCCAAGAAGGTTTGACTTGGCCCTGAAAAAGGGCGAGGACCAACTAAGGTCACACCCCCAAAGAGCACAGAAGCTTAAATACCAGGCAGAGCACAGGCGAGACTTTCTCATAGATGTAATCACAAGCACCGAAGAGAGAATTGCTTCCTCACAGTGAGAATCAATGTTATTTAATTTCATGTCCCAGTGTCCCAGCCAAAACCATTTCTTTCTTTTTTTTAAATATGTTTTTATTGAATTTTTAGAGAGAAAAGAAGGGAGAGATAGAAACATTGATATGAGAGAGACCTTGATCGGCTGCCTCCTGCACGCCCCCTACTGGGGATCAAGCCTGCAACCTGGTCATGTGCCCTGACCTGGAATGCAACCGGCACCTCAGTCCATGGAACGATGCTCAATCCACTGAGCCACAGTGGCCGGGATAAAACCATTTCATCCAGCACTGCACAGACACACTGTCCAAGGGCATGGACTGCACGGCGCTGTGGTCCTTCTCCTCCGGCACCTTACTCTTTTCCTGCCGACTACTTAAGAAGGAAGCCGCGTGCCCCGCCACTTAGGGAAGTAAACTGGGAGCTCTGACCAACGGAGCCAGAATGAATGAAATCCCAGCTACAGCCCTACTCTAGCATGTGACCTTGAGCAAGTCACCTACTCTCCATACCCAAACGTCCTCTATGTAAAAGGGGGGCAATAGTACCTACCTGCAGTTTTTACGTGAAGATGAAATGAGTTAGTGCCCAGAACAAAACTTGGTGCAAACGAACCTCCTTTCACTATCACTGTAGTTAAAACGAGGGTGTGTACGACTCCGTGCAGCGTGCTGTGAGTCACACTCTTTCACACTATGAACCACACACTTGTCCAGCCTGTTCCTAGAGAGCATCTTAACAAATCTATACTTACATAAATTCAGTGCACCCAGATCAAAGTTCCTTCTTAAAGCAACAAGCCTAGTTGTGTACAGTGACAAGTATTGTGTACGTATTATATACTCACACTTAAAATTCCTTCTATTACTCACATTCTCATAGAGAGCTTGAAGAGTCTCCAGATCAACCACAGAATTGTCCAAGTTCACAACCGCTGTAAAAGGGAGAAAGAGAGAGAGAAAAGAAAAAATATAAATGATTTAGCCATTAGCCAGCTAGGAAAAGATATCTGGCCACCTCGGGCAGCAGTGACCAGCTGTGCAAGTGTTCATGACCCAGCAGCCGGTGCTGTAGGGGCTCTGACTTCAACGCATTCATTTGCCCCACGACAAAGACCAGCTTGAGGAGTGGTGGGGTGGGGGGGGAGAGTTACAGCTTTTACTTGCTCTCAGGAACATGACCCAGTCAAAAGCCAAAGATAAACTATGAGTGCCTTTCAGGGACTGAATGCCTGAATTTGATAATTCTGCTTAACACCAGAAAATCAGGCAAATCACTGGTTATGGTCACATCATAGTTTTACACTAATTAATGCTCATATCTGCCTACTTATCTAGAGACATGTGACAAAGGTAATTCTAATCACTAAACTGATAAACTTAATATAGAAATGACCACTGCAACTCCTGTTATAATTTTTTAATTGTTATAATAAAATAAAAATTATTTGTTTGTGGTATTGAAATTAGCACAGATGCACCCTTAAACATCACTCTTAATATACAAACTACCCATGTTTATACAAAAGGAAGAAGTGGAATGGATAGTCAAAAATTGGGAGTATTTTCTTAAATGCACTTTTTGCTCTTTATTGTATTTTGGAATGAGTGTGTTTTACAACTCAGTTTGGACACAGGTTAATTGAAAGCATTCTGCTGTACCTACATACATAGTAGTTAGAATTGAGGTCAATTTGCCCCGATCGGATTTGTGCCAAGTAGCCAGTGGAATTAAAGATTTCTGGAATAAAAGTCACAAAGTGGATAATCACAAATTGGTTGTATTTGTTTTGATAACTGAGCCATTTTACAATGTCTTTACTCTCAAAGCTTAAAGTACATGAGACATTTTCTAGTTGACTCTGGCAAGATCCCAAGAAGGAATTAAGAAAGGCAAGTGGGAAATTGAAGCTTATGATGGATGAGAATTCTAACCAAGATAATTCAGCTTTTCTGCTTGAAGCTGGGAACACAGCCCATGACTCACCAACAAATATTCTAGCAAGCAGAATATGATACTTCCATTCTAATAATCTCCACTATCTCCATTTCCCCCAAAGTTAGGTCTCAAATATCAATCTAAGAATTTGATTAAGATTCTCAGACAAATCTTTTCACTCTTTAGACCACATAAGGCAAAAATATGACAAACTAATGTTTCAAAGTAGTAAAAACACTGCCCAACTAACTTTGACTATATTTCAAAAATTAAATAAAAGGGATTAACACATGATTTTCATTGGAGGTAATGTGGCTATAAATAATGTAACAAAATGCATAAAATCCAAATGAAGATAGCAAGTTCATATATGAAATTCCTCCCTGTGGATTTGTACACGGTCTATCCCTTAAAGAAAATCTTATAGTGAATCCAGAGGTCTGACTTCAAAATTCAGTAGCTGATAATCCACTATTTCTACGTTCCTCTGTATAGCGAGAGACTGGTGAGGAAATCTACGAAAGAAATGCTATAGTTAACTTAGCATACCATTTCCTTTTTGGAACAAGTACAAGAAACACAATAAAATTATTCATACTCAAGTCAAAACTTATAAAAGATGCAACTGTCTTCTGACTGTATCCATCATTTTAAAAGATAATATTTTCCCTACAAGTTTTCCCCACATGAAACCTTTCTTGTGAATATACTGAGGTTGCTCATCTTTTAAACTCCCACAGCATCAGGTACTGAAGGAAACCGTAACAAACCACATGGTCCCGACCATAGATAACATGGCTCTAAGCAAGTCCACAAAATTCTGAGCCATGAAACCCCAGTTTTGATCATCCACAGAAAATCTCAATAGAGAGTAACTCTGTACAATTTTCCTATAACTGGCTTTGTACTTGAGAGATGCGAAGACAATTCTATGGGAATCCGCCGTTCTGACAAATCAAGAGGGTCATGTAAGTAGCTGAAAATAAGGAAGAGGATACTGGCAGATGAATGGATGCAATGATAGCATTCTAGATAGGAAATCAGGGTAAAAGATGCAATTTGGGAAGTGTTGAGGGTTTCTGAGGTGCTATTATTTCCTGAATATAAAAAACATTTTAACCTTTTGGAAACTGGGATTCTAACTAAAATCCGTTATGAAATTTTTAGTGGTCTTCAGGGCTCCCTCCGTTAAAGTCTGTGCTTAGGCAGATGGTACAGACTCAACTGAAAACATTCTAAGATGAAGGAAATAAGATAATGCATTCACTCATGTACTCAACAAAAGTTAAGTGTTTCTTATAACTTAGCAACTATGCCAGCTCACTAGACTGGTTAACAGGTACTTAACAACATTTTGGAATGGGAGCTATTAAATGTGAATATGATCAATTACCCAGCCCTGACCAGCTGCAAACAACTGGTTATGAGTAGAGACCACCCTAATCAGACTTATTGCTATGGCCGTCGTAAGGGATTTATATAAATATATATGTGTGTAAAACTTTTTAAAGGTGGTAAAGGATTCAAGAACAAAAATACTCAGAAATGTCAGCATTCCTATATTTCAACTTTCTTTAAGAGGAGACTACCTCAGTATTGAGATTGTATCAGGGTGATCATCCCTCTATTCCCTCACAAAGGAATACAATTTTTATGGAATAGTTCATTGATGGGGAAGAAACATAGACTATGAAATCAAACTTAACTGGGTTTACATTCACACATTCACATTTTTATTTGCTGCTACATTACTTTAAGTTACTTAACTTGACAAGCTTTAGTTTCTTTATGGGGAGAGGGGAGAAGGAACTGATAGAAAACATTAGCCGTGTTCTGGTTTGTACAGGGACTAAAGGCAGTAACAAGTAAAAGGATCCGTCATGTGGTTGGTTAATATTACTTCCCTTGTCAAGTCTTCATAAAAGTTCAATCAAATAACCCAAAGTTAAACTAGTTTCTTTCTTTCTATTTATTTTCTATTGCCCTCACACACCAAAGAAACAATTTCCAATTGCATCTATTAAGGGTTGTCACTCTTAACCTGGATGAAGAACTAGTAGAACTAAATGTACAGCCTGACCTGCAGCTATTGGCTGTTTAATTATACTCTGCCCTTTTCACTGAGCATTTAAACTATTGAGCATTAGACTGAGATGGCAGAACATAAACAGTTTCAAAATGCAGTGATAAACATTTAGTTCATCTTACTTTCTTCTCGAATAGTCAAGTACATGCTAATGTGATTATACTTCTGATTAGAGGCCAAATATTTCACACGTTACTTCCTACTCTTGGCTCGCAGACATTTAGGAACACCCATCGTTTCTGGGATTCATCACTTTCCCACCATCCATTCCCCTGCAGGTCTATAAAGCTGTTTTCATTACTTTCCCATAGTTATATATAAATAAATGTTACTTCAATTTAACCAAGAAGCATCTGTTCTATTTTAGGTGAAAGGGTGCAAGGACTAAGGAGGTATCAAGAGAAAACTCTAGCCTTTTTTTTTTTTTGCACATTAAAAAATCATTCATTTATTTGTAAAGTATGCTAACTTTCCAGGATTAAAACATGTAGAGATTTTTACACTCTATTTAAACAACCTGAGAATGACCATGCGTTAATGATCACTCCAATATTAAATGGTCAGTGTTTTATTTTTCAGCCTAAAACTTTTTAAAATGCCAAGGATGTGATAAGGAAGAAGATGAATACATTACTCTTCATGATTTTTCTACCAGTGGGCTTCTCTGAGGCTTTATCAAGTGCAATAATACTTCTGTCTGTAGCATATGCTTATCAGGTGGAAAGAATAAGCCATTTTATAGTAAAAAAGACAATTCAAGAAGTCTTGGAATAATTTATGTAATTAATTTTGAAATGTATATTATCCGTGAACATATTGGTTAGAAACTAGAGACAGAGCCAAGGACGTGCTAGACTGAAATTAGGTTCAGAATTAAACATTTGCTTTCGATAATCAAAACTTGCGACCACAAATAGCTCCTGTGTGCATGGACTCCACTGGTACACGCTCACTGCAATCCAGTGCTGTCTCCATTAAACCATGTTTTTACAAAATGAAGAGCAAAACAGCCTATTTTAACACTCAAACAGTCCATTTCACCTAAGTTATTAAAGCTCAAAATAAAACATCCAAACAGAAAAAAGCTATTTTATTTTAAAATATCGCATTGCATAAAAAGTACACAAAGAACAATCGAAAACCACCAGAGATTACAGACCCAACATAAGAAACAGTGGTGTGCCCTGGACACCTCACATTGCACACACAGGTACAGAGCAGGCGACAGTCATATGTCCATATCACATTCCCTGGACACTTGGACTTTGCTATTAAAGTGTTCTCCATAGCCACCTTCTTCAACACAGAAATGTGGAACCTGTTTCTTATTCCAATGTTAAATCACCCACAGACTAGAGTGCAACACAGCGTATCTGTCTGAACGTGCATGAGCAAAAGAACCCTGCATCTGTGCCTCCCATCCAAGAACACACAGAAGGGAAAGGGCCATACTTTGAGAGCTTGTGTTAAAAGAAACTCATGTAAACTCGCCGGTGTGGCTCAGTGGTCGAGCATCAACCCATGCACCAAGAGGTCACCGGTTTGATTCCCAGTCAGGACACATGCCCCGGTTGTGGGCCTGATCCCTACTGGGGGGCATGCAGGAAGCGGTCAATTGATGTTCTCTCTAATCAATGTTTCCATCTCTCTAGAATTTCATAAAGGAAAAAAAAGAAACTCATGTAAAACAAAAGCTCATAAAATATTACTCAAACTTGCAAATGTTTCACATATTTTGAGTAGCCAGAAAAGCAGTTCACTTGATTGGTGTAATTCAGGGTGATATTACTCCTGTTGAATGTAGCATTTCCGGTCATGGAGCACTGTTAGTGGCTGATTCACTCCAATCTTGATTTTTTAATTTTATGGGGTTTCCAAGGCGGGACAGTACTAGAGCAGCCTCAGGGCTA